CGTAAAAAACGACCCATATTTTGGGTCGAAGTCGAAAAAAACGACCCAAATTTTTAGTCGGAGTCGTAAAAAACGACCCATATTTTGGGTCGAGGTCGTTTTTTTTGGCTTGGACTTGGGTCGGAGTCGAAAAAAACGACCCATATTTTGGGTCGAAGTCGAAAAAAACGACCCAAACATTGAGTCGGAGTCGAATAAAACGACCCGAGCTTTGGGTCGGGGTCGCGACTCGCGGCGTTTTAACAACACTAGATGCAACTAGCAGCAATGATAAACTCTGATTGATCAATTGAATTCAATAATGATATCGCTGCTAACGACACATTACTTTTTTTCATGCTCAGCCTTATTTATAAATTATCGTTTGATTTCAATCTCTTTGACTAAATATTTTTACATTTTATTAATATTTTTGAATAATATGTTGGAAAATTGATATTCAAATATTTGTAAAATTTTGATTGGTGAAAGGGGGTCTGAGGGGGGTAAAATTTTTATTAGCTTAAAATGATATTTATGAAATAGTCAAATTTGCGATGGAGGGGGGAATTTCTTCAAACTATTACAATTTTTAATTTAATTTATTAATAATATTTATTTTTTAAAAATTTAAACTTTCATTCCTCTCAATATGATCGAAATAAAATATTTTTATATCTAGGGAGCTATGAGTTTAATTAATGTTTGCAGATTATAAAGGGATCCTAATTCCTGATTTAGCATATGCTGTTTAAAAAAACTTTCTTCTTACTGCAATAGGCCGGCCTACTTACTTTTTATTATTAATTCCTAGATAATTTTTTAATAAAATAGAAAAAATTATTTAGGCCAACTTTTCAATTTTCCATTAAAAATGGCTTATATTTTTTATTCTCTCTAGATTCGAGCAATCATTTAGATTAAAAGTTACATCCTATATTTATATAAATAATAAAGTGAACAGGAATAAAAATAATAGAAAAGAAAAGGGAAGTCGGAGATATTAAAACATGATTAATAGTAAAATAAAAAAATTATTAAATTATATCATATTTTTAAATTTGAAAAAGGTGAAAAATTTTAATTAAAATATTTATAGATCATATTTGAGATGATTGTTGACATACAAAACTTTAGCGATAAAAATATTGGTAGATTTTATTCCTTAAGAATTATAGTATGAAAATAAATGTCGCTTTTTCTGATTTTTTTTTTGTCATCCAACACGGCTAATTCAATATTTTATCTAGAAAAAATATTAGGCAAACCTGAAGATTTTTCTCGTAGATGGAACAAAGGTTTGGACACCCCTTAGCAAAATCTCAAGGCTTAGGCAATATTTTTCTAGCTAAAATATTGAGTTAGCCGTTTTTGAAAATAGGCTCAAATAGAGCCTTTTAACAACACTAATTGTATTGTATATAATTATTTCTATTTATAAAGGTCCATATATCCTTGAATTGTTTTCCCGAGTTCAAAAGCGAATGCGAAATTGTCGAAAGACTCATACAGGAAGAATCCGTATTCCCATTTCCTTCTTCGGTTAAATAATATTTAAATATTTTTCTTCTCTTCCTCAAATTTCCTACCTAATTTTTTTTTTTGATTATCAATGGAGAATGTCGTTTTAAATTAACCAACATTGTCATAGTCTCCAATCAAGCTTAGCTAAGCTTGTAAACCCAAAAATTTAGTTAAATTTATAAATTTTCTCGTAAATTAGTAAATAATAATGTTCTTAAGTAATATTAAAATTTGTAAAATTAATCAATTGATTTTAAAAAAATATATAATTAATTTTATAAGTCAGCATAGGAGAATATTTCTTAAACTTAAATTTCTATTGTTTATTCTTTCATTATATATATATATTTTTTTTAATATAAGATATTCGGCATAGATGACTTCCTGAGAATATCGTTGATAATTCCTAAAGATAAAGCCATTGTTGCCGCTGAAAGGATGTCCGAATTTTTCAAAAATCATTACATTAAACCTTCATAGTCAAAATTTTTAAAATTTAGTCAAATATTGTCATTTTTATTTTTATTTTAAACTTTCCACTTTCTTTAATTTTAATGTTTTTTTATATATAGCCAATTTTTATAAAACAATTCTATTTTCCATAAAGATTTAAATCATAATTATATTTATTTTTTTCGCAATCATTTTAAATTATACTTTATATAGTTTATTTGTTTTTAATATATATAATGTTGTATAAAACCAAATAGCATTTGAATGAAGCTATATTTAAAAAAAAAATTTTTTTTAAATCTAGCCAATATTTTGAAGAGTTTTCATTATTGATTTAATTTATGAATGCTTATAAAATTTTGTCAAAAATTTATAAATCTTTTTTTTCTTTGGTTTATTTTCAAATTTTTTTATTCTAAAGTAGTTATAAGATAGAATAATTATCTTGAAAAACAGTTATATTAATCTTAATCTACAATTATTATGAGAATTAAGGTAACTAAAATTTGATCTAGTCACTTATTTGGTTTGACATGAATTTATCGATAGGTTAGGCTAGATTTTGCGAGGCGTCGTTTCCTAGGCTTCGCCTTGTTAGACCTGGCTTAGCTAGGCTTCGATTTCTTGGAATTCGGATTTTCTAATGTTTTATTTGCAAGGATAGGCTTTGTTTAGCTTTAATTAATCAAAACGAGGCAAAACAAAGTCAAGGAAATGCGAGGCAAAAGAGGAAAAAAAAATAAAATAGAAGTATGAGGCGGAGATGTGGAAAGCAAATATAGAAAAGAAACAGAACAAATGGTAAAAAACAGAACAAATGTTAAGCAAAAAGAGAAATTTTATAATCCAAATAAGGATGTATATTAAATAGTAAGAGCAGGTTTCAAAGAAAAAAGCAACTTATATATAGGAGTGATTGGTCCATGTTGAGTGTAGGATAATATCGCCCAACTCTAATTATAATTTAAATTTACTACTCATTAAGATTGGAAATGTAAGCATGATATAAATAATTAAGTCATATGTGATTGGCTAAAAAAATTGCTTCCATGTTTTCTGGATGCAAACAAGTTGGGCTTTAAACCAGAAATTTTTCGGCAATACCATCGCCTCGTTAGTAATAAATGCTGGTTGCTGGAATAGCTAATATTTTTGATTAAAAAATTTTTTTATATTTATTTTCAAATTACACGCATACACTATTAAATCAAAATATTATACTTTTAGATTCAAATATTTTGTGTAAAAATTTCCAAATGATAGGGGAATTAAAAGTTCTTTTCAGTATAAAGGATCTTAGATACAGATACTAGTATCTTTTTAAAAATGTAAAAAAGATACTGAATACAAGATGCCAAAGGATCTTGTATCTTAGATACAAGTATTCGTGGCACTGACCAACTCTGTATATTTGAATACAATTCCGACAAAAAAAAGGGTATTTCAAAACTAATAGATGCATGCTATATCGTTTATATGCTTAAATAAAACCAGATCTAGCAGTTTCTAACTTAAAAAAAATAATACTACAATATATTACATTCTCTTTTCGCGTTAACGTATATTTGATATTATTGACTAAAGTGTTAGTTTCGATATATATAATATTATATACACAGAATTTTAATAAAAAAATGTGAACAAAATATAATCAATTATATTTTTCTTTCCCTAGGTATTCATATTCATTTCTCATACGGTACTCCGTTAGAATTCTTTTTTTGTGTGACGAGAGCTTCAGTTTTTTCAAATCTTTTAAAAAAATTTTAAAATATATATTGTTTTTTCATTAATTATAATTGTGTACCACTAATGGAAGAGCATACTGCTGAAAAATATTGTATGCGGAAAATAAATTAGTATAAATTTTAAAATAAAATAAAATTACTAAGTGGTATTACAATAAGGTCAATAATTATTTTTATAAAAAGAAAGAAGAGAAAGAAAGACTTATTTTTACTTGCTTTGTAAAACTTTTTGATAAAATGGAAACCTCGGGGGTGCTTCTCACGTGGTTTTTTTTACTAAGCTGCAGATATAATTTTAAACCTATAAATTTAGTTCTTTCGAGCTCCCGGACTTTCCCGACTTTATACCAAACGTAAGCGTTGGATAAATACATTACGAAGAGGCTCAAGGCTAAGACCAGGAAAAATGTATTCACGTTTCGCTCTTCCATCCCATAAACTAATATTTGAATATTTTTTTAAAACAAAATAATTAAAAATTCGGTTAATATATTATATGTGATGATGCATTCGTAATAATGCATTTGAAAGCTTTCGTTTTATGCAAATCAACTGGGCCCCCCATTTTGGTAACCCATATATTTAATTATACTTATGTTAAAAAAAACTATTATTAAATTGATAACTTACCCTATTATCTCGATGATCAGGAAAATCTTTAATAAAGTCTGCGTCAGACTTAGGAACAAATTGGCCACTCGTTTAAAATTTTTAACAATAATATGGGTAATCAAAATGACGTCCCCAGCTGTTTATATTGATGTACACTTTTAATGAATGCATCGTCAGTCTAGGTATTATTTTATGTCATTGATCCTGTCTAAATAAATTTTTACTTCTCAAAACAATATATGCGTGACTGTTCCCATTTGGGACAATAATATTAAATATAAAAATTATGACAGATTTAAATTATATGAAGTTATTAAAAAACAATTCAAGAAACTATTTACTAAAAACCGGAAATAATTTATATAGTCTCAAATTTATTTGCACCCTGCACTCACACGTGATCTTTCAATTTAGTGTACACATGTCGTATTGGGATATAAAATTCATGGGTATTCGGAACCTCTTAATTTTATATCATTTATTGTAGGCAATTTTTTAAATTAGGGTACTCTGATTTGAACCGGAAATGTATCCCAGCATACATATGGTTTGTAACAATCCCTAAGAATTTCAGGCGCATTTAATGGAGGCCATTTTAATTTATATACATCATTTTTAATGCATTTTAATCTGCGAAATGTCGATCTAGACAAGTGTTAGTACGATAAAAAATGCCAGTCACAATAAGGATAAGTATAAAATGCTCTAAGTTAATATTTTATAATGGGAAGCCCTGTCTTTTGAGATCGAGATGAAAAAATTTCTCATAATTTTAAAATTAAATTTTTTTTAAAAAATAGCCACTAAGAGTAGTGTCCGAAAATTGATAAATTGTTCATTCCCGATTTAGTATAATTCCATAATCATCTGTTAAAAAAATCTTTAATGCGGTTATAAAAATTAATCGGAAATTTATTTTAATTAACTCGTAATAACTAATTGTCGTAAAATCTCTCAAATGTAGGAATAATTTTTGAGTATCATATACCAAGAATTGTATTTAAATATTTTATAGGGTCTGGAGTCAAATTGTCTAAACTGGTCAAAAATTTGGATATACAATATACTCAAATCTACTTTCTAAATCTTTGGCTCACTATCAAATCCTCAATTTTATGTTCAATAGTCTTGGCTGAAAGCCTAAAAGTACCACTATAAATTCTTGATTAAATATTAATTTTTATTTATAAATTTTCCTAAACCTAATCTCAATATTGATATAACAAATATCTCCGATCATTTCCTATCAACCTAATATTTTATTTTTTAAAGGGAAATTCATATAAACCCCAGGATCTCAAAATGTGTTTTAAAAAATATCTTAAATGACGTTTAAAAGGTATCTACCAGATATATATATATATATATATATATATAACTCGTATTGAGTTTGGGATATGTAAATTTTAAATAAAATCCCTTATAAATTTTAATAAAATATATTACGGATGATATGACAGTTAATAACAAAAGTCAGAGTACCCACTCAGTGAGTTTCGGACAATTTTACGATGAATTTTTGAATTAATTAAAATTTATATTGATTTTTATTCGAAAATTTTATTTAAATAAAACAAATGTTTTTGGCAAATATCCTACTCTACAGATGCCGGAATACATTTCTGGTTAAATCGGATTTTTATAATTCCATCGGTAAATGATTTAAAAAGGGAGAAATTCCTTATACTCTCATCCATATCCCAATACGAAATATAAATACTTTAATTCTACTTATCTCTCCTTTAAATTTAATAAAAGGCCTACAAATAGATTATAATTCGGTAACAACATAACCATACCTAACACGCATCTAGGCAAATCGCCCCAGACATTGTTATCCCTACACATGGCGCTTTTGCATCCTTCCAACCTATAGTATATATGGCAGTAAAATACCGCTTCCGTTTGATTCCCACGATCTTTCAATATTATATAGCCATTTTCAAGGGTCGGAGGATCGCACCCTTTATCTAAACAATAATAAAAATAAACGGTTTCAATAATAGGTAAATTTTAAAAATTGGTACATATATTTTTTATCCCTTTACAGTCAGAATCATATAAACGGGCACTCAGGGGGTTATTTGTTATAAAAGAGATATTGTATACGTTAGCGGCAATGTGTGTTTTTTTTTACAACTTTAAACGATTTTTTAAAATTTAAATCTCATTTTACAGGAATTATAGCGTGTTTAGAATACCTATCAATTTATATAAAACGAATATGAATTATGCTAAGTTCAAAGGGTTCATAGCATAATTATTTGAAATTTAATAGGATTGTCATTCCAAACATGAGGGATTACATTTTTGGCAAAAGTAGATTTTTAATTTTTTTAAAAAAAAAAAAAATTCCCTCAACATATGATTTAAATTTGAATAAATAACACATTTGCCGGAAAGAAATAAAAACAAACCGTCGCTATGATTGACTTGGTAAATTCATTTAAAAATATGGCTTATTCCTTCAAATTCATAATTATTGTAAATTGTAAAAGTTATTTAACATTATATACTACTATTAATATAAGGTTTTAAGAATTATATATAGATTTAAAAATAGCTAGTTTCCACATTGGAATGGAAGGTTGCAGAAATTTATCCCGTATCGAAATTCTTCAATATAAGTTTTTTTTTTCTACTACTTCTCTAATTTGCTTTACTAAATTACTCTTTCATACTTCAAAAAACTTTTTAATTATATATTGATTATTTATAATCAATCTTTTTTTTATTTTAAAAATCAAAATATTTGGATATAAGAGCACACAGAATATATAAGCTGCGAACTAAAAATATAGAAAAGCTTATTTATCCAAGAAATTAAGATTATTTTTTGTATGCAGACATTTTAGACAATTTTTAGATTGGAAAAAAAATATATTTTACTACTGGGTAACAATTTGTCAATGTTCGAAAGATGATATATGTATAATATTAATAAAACCCCTTAGATTCGAGGACACTTAATACTTGGGCCTACATTTATGATAAAAAATTTAAAAAACCTAAATTATGGATTACGCGTATTACCGCGCCTCGCGTTTCAATACGACGATTTCGATCGTGATCGTAAAACACATTACTGATCATACAAGAGTATTCACCGTATTGGTGCGGGCTGATTTCCATTATCGTTAACTTCTGTTGTTTTGTTGTCAGAGAGAAACCTAATTGATGGTGTACCCAGATCACCTAAACCAAAGATGTATAAGGCAAATAAATCTCTTTGTATAATAATATATAACCTTTTATAAAGTTTTAAAAATTCAAATTATTTCAAGTGGTATCTGTTGTAAAATAAATTTACATAAAATAAATAAAATTATTCAAATTAACTCATTTTGATAAAAACTAATGTCCAAAAGAAAGTCACCATGATAACCTCTTTGATGAGATTCTGATTAACGACTAAATAACAAGAAGACTTTAAATGATTAAACAATATTTAACTTCATATGGTGCAGGATTAGACTCGTAATTACATTCGAGTACGACTCTATCTCCTATCTTTGGAGTAAGGATGGGATTGACGGGTTGAACAGCTGGTGCATCTAATGGCGTATATATTATTCATTTTTTTTAATTGTCAGACGATAAATAAACGAAAAAAATTTGTATAACAAAATAAAACCAATAAATAGGTATACAATTTTAGAAAATATGGAGCGTTATAATGATAACGCTACTATAAAATTTGAAAAACCTTTCTTTCTTTCTTTCTTTCTTTCTTTCTTTCTTTCTTTCTTTATCTTGCGATGCGTTTATAAAAAAAATTTATGCGTTACGAATTATATTAAAAAAATTAGGGATAAATTCGATAGTTTCTTTTAGTAAGAAAATCGTAAAAACCTTATTACCTGGATAAGACGAACTAAGAATCCACGATAAGTAAATTAAATATAATATTATATAAATTGAAAAAAAAAACTAAAATTACTTTTCCTTTAGGATGGAATAGAAATTAATGAAATAATAAAAAAATGCAGACGATAATGTATAATTTATATTAAAAACCAATTATGATTTATTAACATGGTTAGAATAATAGAAAGGCAACCCAATGACAATATAATAATATTTGAAAAGGATAGTTGAATGCAAATCAGCGGAGCCGCCATTTTGATAAATCTATATATTAATTACTCTCATGTTAAAAATTTATTAACTTGATAACTTGCTTCCTTATTATATCGATGATCAGAGAGAAGAGAAGAGAAGAGAAGAGAAGAGAAGAGAAGAGAAGAGAAGAGAAGAGAAGAGAAGAAGAAAGAAAGAGAGAGAGAAAGCAATTCATTAATAAAGTTCGCGTCAGACATAGGAATAAATTGGCCTCTAGTTAAAAATTTTTTTTAATAATGGTATGGGTAACCAAAATGGCATCCCCAGCTGTTTTTCATTCGATGTAAACTTTTAATGAATGCATCGTTAGTCTAGGTATTGTTATATGTCATTGAGGCAACCTTAATTTAAACAAGGGATATCATTTTAAGGACAATTAAGCTCGAGCTGACCCCTCACCTCCTAGTGTTACAAGTCAGTGGGTCTCTGATACAAATTTATTTTAGGTATTTCGAAACCAAGGATACTCTAGAATTTTTCTTATAAAAATGTCAGAATGTTGACTTCCACGTTTGGACTATAGAACAAGTCACGTATCATGTTTTCTTTCGAAATTGCTTGTATAAATATTCACATCACGAATAATAAATTATTCAACTCAATGAGTAACAATTTTTTATTTAAATAAAATCGATAAATATCAATTTAAATTGCAATTGTAATAAAAATAATTGTTTTAAACAAAGTTTTTTAAATTTTTGCTTTAGATAATACTTAAATTGAGGTCTTTTTTTTGAGTTTTATTGCAAATTTTGATATATTAAAAATTTTTTTATATACTAATTTCTAAGTCTAGACAATTTAAAATCCAGAAAAATTAATTAATAAATAAAAAATATTTATAAATAATATAATAACATTTATTTAATTAAATTAATTTTTATAAAAAATTAAATATTTTATTTTGTATTTTCTTTAAAGATTGATAAATTTCAAATTATTTAATATCCCATATTATTTATAATACTAAATGTAATTAATTAATTATATTTTATAATATTTGATAGATTTATATGATTTTTATACACTTTATATCATAATGGATAAATTTGATCATGAATTTTATCGTTCCAATATAATTTCCAGAAAATAATGAAATATTTGTAAGACTCACGCATGACAGACAAATGGAATTGCATCCTACATGGAATTGGAAAATCGGTGGATACACAATATATCATACCAGCGTGTTTTCTGTGCACCACATCTATGACTAAATAATTGTTGATATTGGAATCTGAACCCCTAGTATTGGAGAGAAGCTCCCCACTGAGCTGTGCTATGTGATTTATTCTATGTAAGAAATACGAATGTATTTATATATATATGAACAGTTTCCACAATTTTTTAAAAAAAAGTCTGATTAAGACATGTTTTAAATGTTAAAACATAAATTCGATTCCTTCCTCCCATTACCCACTACCCTCTCTCCCTTCATATTTTTTTAAAAAATATTCCCAAAAGACTACTACACTTTAAAACCTGTGATTTTGATCATTAGGGTTCGCATTCCCTGAAAACGACTTTATGGAACAATGGAATTCTAAATTTTTCCTACCCTCCACTATATACGCATGAGAATTGTTTATCTTCACTTTATGACCGTCTATCATTTGCATGATTGTCACCTCACAGGTTGGGGGAACTTTACACGCAATAAAACAAAGGTTCTTATAAAATCAAATGATTCACGAGGAGAATAATAAAATCTATATAGATAAGAAAAACGAGCTATGCATTTATCTAATCGCTCAAGAATGTATTACAATATTTTTGATAATTAAAATAAAAAGTGAAATAACCTTTAACTTCGACAAATATATCCACAGATTCTAATTCAAAAAGTTCTTCTACTCGAGGTACGTTTAGAATATATAGAGCTAAATAAGTGCACCTAAAACGATGAAAGTTTCCCCAAATAGGTCTTTTAATTTTCTCAACGTGCAGATTAAAGTTATCCGAAAATTCTCGGATCGTATTTCCATCCAAGATCCACTTAGCCTAAAAAAAAATATCAAAGTTTGGAGCATGAATTTGTGTAGTTTAGTATTTGTTAAACGGTAGAATTTTTTAAAAACTGTGAACCTAATATATTTAGTTTACGCAAACCTGGATAGAATTTAGCTCAATTGATAGCAGAAAGGTTTGAACATCTTCTTCTCTTCTCTTCTCTTCTCTTCTCTTCTCTTCTCTTCTCTCTCTCTTCTCTTCTCTTCTCTTCTCTCTCTCTTCTCTTCTCTTCTCTTCTTCTTCTCTTCTCTTCTCTTCTCTTTCTCTTCTCTTCTCTTCTTCTTCTCTTCTCTTCTCTTCTTCTTCTCTTCTCTTCTCTTCTTCTTCTCTTCTCTTCTCTTCTCTTCTCTTCTCTTCTCTTCTCTTCACTTCTCTTCACTTCTCTTCATCTTCTCTTCACTTCTCTTCACTTCTCTTCACTTCTCTTCTCTTCTCTTCCTTCCTTCCTTCCTTCCTTCCTTCCTTCCTTCCTTCCTTCCTTCCTTCCTTCCTTCCTTCCTTCCTTCCTTCCTTCCTTCCTTCCTTCCTTCCTTCCTTCCTTCCTTCCTTCCTTCCTTCCTTCCTTCCTTCCTTCCTTCCTTCCTTCCTTCCTTCCTTCCTTCCTTCCTTCCTTCCTTCTTTCCTTCCTTCCTTCCTACGAAATCTTGAGGCTTGCACAATATTTTTTGGTAAAAATATTGGGTTAGTTGTTTCTATAAATCTAGCCGTTTAACGATACTAGTGTAATTAATCGATTGGTTCGGTGAATTTACATGATTAAATTTTTTTTGTAATTACTTTTAATAAAAAAGGAAGAGGTAATTTATAACTTTTATCATTAAAGAAGTTGATTTGTTCTAAATTAAATAAAATAAACTCGTAACATTTAAATAATTTTAGAAAACTTTAGAAAGGTTAATTATTTAGTAATATTGAGATATATGAAATATTATATATAAAATTGACCCTATATATTATAGTTGATCCCATAGTTCCCTGGAATTTGAGCATTAGATCAACGTTTTCGCCTTCGTTTATAGACAAATTGTAACTCACTGGGATTGGTTTATCTAAATTTTGTTGAAAAAATCGATATAAATAATAAGTATAAACAAACAAAAAACGAAGTTAGGTATGGAAATTATAAACATAAATTTTTAAGGGTATTTAAAGATCATTATCCATTCTCAGAAAAGCTATTTCCTGCATCAAATCTGCTCATAAATGAGATATTCATGGAAAGGATAGGGGAACATAGATGTCAGGTCAGTTTCAATTTTCTAAACATATAATTAAGTCTCGAAATTAAACCTTATGTAGATAATCATTCTGTATATCAATCTAAGTAAAATATTTCTCCCATCTCAACTAAGTTTGATATTAAAAATAATGTATTTTTATCTGGTATACGTCTCTATTTTACATATTATAGTTAAGTTCCATAATATATTAAATAATAGATTTAGACCCATTTGCATGAGTTATATAATATGATCTACCATTTGTAATTTTTTTTATAATATTTGTCAGAGTAGGTGGCTAGGGCATGTCGGGCCTTGGTTAGAAATATATTCTAATTTACCGGTTAAGATAATTCTTCTACTGGTAGAAAATTTATTTATTATTTCAATGCTTAATAGAGTATTTATTGAATTTCGTATCAACTTGGTTAATGATTGTGGAAGGGAATTACTGGCTTTAAAAACATAAATACATATAAAATCCCAAGCTAGTTCGCTCTCTTCTTTTAATTGGTATAGGTTTTACCATCTACTCTTTTACCATCTGCTGATCTGAGTACTAAGCTTTTTAATCTTGGGAACTCCGCTGTATTAAAAATTATTAATACATGTTCAAATTCTCCTCACTTAGGGTTACCAAAATTTTGATATTTTTTATGATTTTATTTAAGTCGCGATTTAAACCAACCAATATTTCAATTAGAGAAGTTACGGATTATAGATTGAAAAATATCACAAATTTCCTTTGAACAATCATTGTTAATTAAAACATAATACCTAAGTTATTTAGGATATTAATGGAATGTGATATAAAAGTAAGTATTTGATATATTTCAAAAAGACATTATTATTTTTTTATTTTTGAAAATGATATGAATCATGTTATTTCAATATTAAAACAATAATTACAAATAGACTAACTTTTGATTGATAAACAAAAATTATACAAAAATCTTTGCTACTTATGCATTATTTTATGATAAAAATATAGCTAAATTACTTTGCGTAGTAAATAATATTAATAATCAATAAACTTTCCTGACGATGAAAGAATTTGAATTGCACAAAAGTATAATACATGACTTAGTTCCTGATTTTTAAGATTATAATTTATAACCCTCTAATTTAAATTTATACCCTCTTATTTAAATATAGATTGTCAAATAATATAAAGCCGTGATACTATGTGTTACTAGTTAAAAAGTGTATAATAACAATTGCTGTTAAATATGAAACTAAACATAAATTATTTTATATGATAGGATTTAAAGCATAAATGATTTGATATCAATATTGTTAGATATGACATCAAAAACAGTAAAATGTTAATGTTATTAACAAGACATTAACCTTAAAGCTAGCAAATTCTGAGAATATATTAAGTTTGCTCTAAATATATGACATTTAATTTACATCTCTCATGGCTATATGTTGTTGTTTGACAGGTGTCAAATTTTTATAAACTCAAAAAAATTACCTAAGGGATTTTTTTTAAACAATAAATTACAAAGTATTAAATAAAAACCATAAAAATTGAGTCTTATGTTTTGAATTTCCCGGTAATATAAATATGATAAAATATAAAATTATACCATTTTGTTATGGTCGTCATAATATTTAAATAAAATTTTGTAATACAAGTGTATTATTGCCATATCTTAAATCTACCTTTAATTAATGATTTTACTGATAAAAATATAACAAAATATAAACCAAATATATCATTATGATTTTAATTTAATAGTATTTTTACAAAAAAAATATAAACATCAGAATTTAGTGGGCGCTATCTTATTTTATATTACTTATAGAGAACCATATCTTCGATAAGAAATATCAAATACCTTTTTAGAACATGTATCAAAAAAATCTAATTAAAATTAATTTAGAAAATTATTATCAATGAAACTTTATATACTGAATAATTGATATAAATTCATATATACAATTTCCACAACAGATTCAGAATCATATTTAACTAAATCTCTATCACAAATATTATTTTTAAAGGCTATTTGAACTAACTACACCTCTGGGTTAAAAAGATTATGTTTTATAATAATTATTATGATAATAAATGGGTAGGTACGATGATTTTTATCTAAGTTAAGTAAACTATTATTAATTAAACTGTTGGAGCAGGTCTCGATTACCTATTTCTAGTTTTCTGGTAAATTCTAGGGTAATAAAATTATTGCCTCTGTCTCAGTAGCAGATTAAATGCTATGATAATAAGATGATTGTTTACATAAAACCCTGTTCAATGTGCGCCGGTCTCTCTTAATGGTATTAGGAGAATGATAAAAATGATGGATTGTTAAAAAAAAATACATAAAATATAGGAAGATAGAAATGATATTAAGGCATTATATGATTTATAAATTGAAATTATTTAGAATGGAGTTAGGTGTTAGAGTTATTAAAAGCCCATGCTAAAGTAATATTGGTTAACCAACCGATAAAATAAAACCTAATTTGATTTAGGTTTACCGTTTAAATTTTCATTTATTATAACAAATAAAATTTCATGTTTCCAAACTTACACAGCCAAAAGATTTTCCTGCGTTCAAAAGAAATATTGTTGCAAAGGGGGATATCTGTACAATTCGCAAACTTGTCTGCTGAAGGAATCTGATTTATAGTAAGACTACTAGGAATACAACTTATAATCCAATAATCCAATTTCGTTGAACCAGCTATTATCGGCTTCAATTCATGGAGCTCATCTCTTTTCAATGCGGTAAAATTGGTAGTAGTAGTCTTTGTAAATATTTTAGTTATAACATTTAATACACATAATTTGTAATTCTTTGATTAAATCTGCATAATTAATAAACTATACAAATAAAGTAGGTAAATTATAACCTTAAAAATAAAATGAGGCTGAATTTAGTCTCGAGTATTGTATGTTGACACAAAAAAATGAATTTGGAGAGTGCTAGCAGAGCGTGATTAGATTTATTTAAATTTAAATTTATAGCACTAATTTGGCTGTGTACTAATATTTTATTGGTTAAATATTGTCATTCCATAACTTATTTTTTTTTAGTTTCAAGAATAAAATATCTAATGTAAATGTTTTACTAATTTTAAGACCCAAAATTTGGTAAATTATGTAAGCTTGAGAGAGTATATCTAAATTACATATCAATTAAGAAATGCGAATAATGTAAGACCATATTCTCACCCAATACGCTAACTACAAAACCCTATATTTTCCCTAGAGCTTGTATAACCAGAAATTAATCTCATATTTTTGGGCCTACTATATCACGTATATTTGCCTCACGCTCGTTCTGTGAAATCTATTAATGTTAACTCAAGCCAAATGCATAAATACAGGCTTATTATCGTCACAATAAATACAGAGTATACATTCAAAGCTCTATACTTATAATATACAGGCAAATGAAAATAGATGATTGCCTACATACCTCTAACACAAGCTAATTTTGCCCTTTACAATAAATAAAATATTCCTTGACATTTCAAAACAACTCATGGTCATGCGTATTTTAAAAATCCCTCTTTGTTAAGGCCAAATAAAGAGCTATATTCTTGATTTTGCGCCTAATAATTATCGATCTTGAAAAAAATTCATAAATCGAAGACTCTTATAGAGAAGCCTTTGCCTATTTTTCTCTTCTAGGCTCGCAAAC